AATAATAATAATAATAATAATAATAATAATAATAATAATAATAGTAATAGTAATAATAATAGTAATAATAATAATAATAATAATAATAAAAAAAAAAATAATAATAATAATAATAATAATAATAATAATAATGACGCGCGTGCCTATAACAAAAATGTTCCCTTTAAACCCGTTTTCACAGTATTCGCTTAATTAAAAGTATGCATACGGGGTTAACTTTTCTTCTATTTTAATATACGCTTCGGACATGACTGTACTATATGGTTTTCTTTGTTATTATTTTTTTGTTATTTATTTATTTGATGGTTTTATTTGTATTTTTAAATTTGTAGCGCACTTATATCAAATTATGTTTTACTTTTTCGCCGGCAAACGTACCCCTCCTTTTTAATCCCTTCACATCTCTTACTAATAATTTATTTACGTTTTTAACAGATTTGTGCTAAATGACAATACGTAGCTTAATGAATGTACGTTTTAATATTTTTTTTTGCAGTGTATGGCCGTCTTTTGGATTACTGCTATTCTCCTTTTTATTTAATTTTATTTTACTTCTTTCTTTATTTCTTTCTCTCTCTCTCTTTCTCTCTCTCTCTCGTTTTTTATTTGCTTATTTCTTTCTTTCTTTTTATACATCCACCTAATTTTATTTGTCGTCATTTTTACTTATTTTTTGTTCTTTTTTAAATTCTTCCCGTTACACACCACTACCCATTACATTGCCTGTTTCTTTACTCGGTAATAAAGTGACGTACAACCATCCAAATACTGTTTAGGTGTTTTTGAGTGACGAATCAGTAGTCTCTTAACAAATATACGTTACAAAACTCTTAAATGTTATCGTTTAATAGCTTCTCTGTGTAAAGCAGTTCATACTTATTTTATTTTAATTTATTATTTTTTGTTTGTTTGTTTATTCAATTATTTCTCTTTCTCTCTTGTTTAAGTACCAGCAGCTACCTTCCGAAAATCTTGCTTATCTTTCAGAGTATCTTTTTTTTTTCTATCAACTTATCCTTCCTTCTAACCGTCTACCTTTCCTTCCCCACCATTTTCATTCATATTAACTTTTTTTTCTTTTTTTTCTCTTTTTATTAATCTCCGTTTTGTCATTGCTACGATTTATAACATTTGTTTCTATTATAAATGCGATTGGTACGACGAATATGTGTTTGTGTGTATGTGTAAATGGCAAAAAAATCGTTTCACATAAAAAAAATTAATACACGCTTTTTTTTGTTTGTTGTCACATTAGGGCTACAAATTATTTGCACTTCCTTTCGAAAAATACGTATTTATTTTTAAGTGCGGAAAGATTACTCCTAATTTACACGCAAAGATACAATCACCAAACCAAACTTCAATTCCAAACTCAAGATTTCCCTTCTAGTTTCTTTTTCTCTCTTCATGTTGTTCAATATTTTTTCTTTTTTCCTTTTTCCTATAACTTTTTTCTTAATATTATTTTCTTCTCTTTTATCTCTTTCTATTGTTCGACTCTATTATTACTTTTTTTGCATTTTCATTTCATTTATTTTTTTTATTTTTTTGTTGTGTGTCTATGTGAATTTGTGTTTAAATGTATAGGAAGATAGATTTCACTCTTTTCCTTCAATATTGGGAATAAATAAGAAACTAAGATTTTTCGTTTTTCTCGATCTTATATCATTTAGAAGTCTCACCTTAGATTTTATTTTATACGAGTCATGGCCCACTGTAAGCGAAACTAGAATCGAATCAACTTTTCTCTTTTTTTTTATTTAATTATTTAATTACTTTTTTCTTATTCTTTCCTCACCTCTTCCCCTTCCGTAGGATTCCGGCGGTAAAACTGAAGAATTGCGATTAGAAAGATTAGAAAAACAAGGTATGTATATATATATATATATGTACGTGTGTTTTGGTATTTTACAGTCATAATGTTATCAGAAATAGATAATAGAGTTATGAAAGATATAGATATATAGATCTAATGCATAAACATTGTCATGATCTTCAAATTTGACTTATCACGTATTAGATGGATCAGTAGTAATTGTTAAGTCAAAGTAATATTCATCATATCATAGGTTTCAACGAAGCTGGTATCGATTATTAATTAAATTCAATTTTGGTCGAGTAGTTTCTTTTTTCATTGATAAAAAAAAAAACAAGAAAAAAACAGAGGAAATAAAAGATAACTAAAAAAAAGATATAAAATATATATAAGTAATAAAAAATACAAAAAATGAAAAAAAGAAAAACAAAGAGAGAGAAAGAGAAAGAAAGAAAGAGAGAGTAAAAGAGAAAGAGAGAGAGTGAGAGAGAGACGTATCAACTATGACTTACTTCAATGACATCTCGAATAAATATAATTTTTTTATTAGCGCGCTTTATTTTATTATTTCAGTAGTAATAATACTGTTGTTGTTTGTTTTAATAAAAAGTACGAATTTTTTTACGATACAAAGTTTCACCGCCTGGCGCATTTATATTTCAAGAAACGGAAAGTACTAATTTTTTTTTTTTATTTTTTTATTTTTATTTTTTTTTTTCATTTTCATTTTCCTTTAAACCCTCAGTGTATTTATCTATACGATAGATGTGACCCTTTATACGTATAAGTTAGATTTATTATTTAATAAAATGCTGTCTCTTTTATTTCTGATTAATCCTTCTTTTTTGTTACCATTCATACGTCACGATAGCACACGACTAACAAAACAAAAACAAAAAAATTAAAAAAATACAAAATACACAAAAATAAACAAACAAACAAAAACAATGATATATATGCATAAAATCTGTCACTCTGAAATAAGATTAAGCGTTTTGTACTAAAGTGCAGAGATATATAATATTACTTTGAATGAATTACCTACGCAATGTACAATCGTGGATTTTTTTTGTTTTTTTCTTTCTTCAACTCCTTACATTTCTTTTTATACATGCTTCATGATAAGGTATGGTTGAGCCGTACACAACAGACAACGGTTATAATATATTATTTTTATGGCGACACGCATACGTATATTAACACACATACACACACATACGTGCCCTCTCTCTCTCTCTCTCCCACTCTCTCTTCCTTTCTTTTTTCCCACAAATCATTGCTTATATCATTTTTTTTCTTTCTTTCTTTCTATCTTTCTTTATCTTTCTCTCTTGTTTTCTTTCCCTTCGTACAGTGCAATATGTACTGAAATTTAAGACAACAACTTTGATCATAAAGTTTCCAAAAGCATTACAGAAAAAAGCGAGGATTATATGGTTCCCCCACTCCTTTCCTAATTCTTATTTCTATATTTCGTTTCTTTCTCTCTCTCTCTCTCTCTCTCTTCTCTCTCTTATTTCATTTCATAATTGTTGTTTATTATTATATTTTATTAAATTTTTGTTTGTAAAGCCGTTTTTTAAGAGTATGTATTTTTTTACATAATTATTCCCAATCCCTGATACTCTTTCCATTCTTTCTTTTCTTTTTTTATTTACTTATTTATTTTCTTTTTCTTCTTCTTCTTTTCTTCATTAAAGAACTTTATTATTATTTGTTTACTCAGTCTGACCACACCATGTTAAAACGTGGAATAATTTCTCATTACAATCAATATAGATACTGCAAGTAGAATTACGAATATCCAGGCTTTTTTTTTTATTTATTTTTAGTTTGCGAGGGTACTCTACTGACGATCGATGAAGTTTAAGTTTTGTTGTTGATGTTTATTATTACCTTTTTGCATATAATTTCTTTCGTTATCATTTTTTGTTTCTTCGTTGACCTCCTTCCATTAAAAACTATGTTCTTCGTCAAACAAGTTTACATCATCGATGCTGTCTATTTGTTTGACTCCAATCGCTTCTTCGTCGTCGTCGTCAAACTCACCATCTTCATAATCTTTATCATCATCATCATCATCATCATCATCATCATCATCATCATCATCATCATCATTATCATCATCATCATCATCATCAACCTCCTCCTCCTCCTCCTTCTCCTCCTCCTCCTCCTCCTCCTCCTCCTCATCATCATCTGCATTAAATCTAGCACTAGCACTAGCACTAGCACTAGCACTAGCACTAGCACTAGCACTAGCAGTAGCAGTAGCAGTAGCAGTAGTAGTAGTAGTAGTAGTAGTAGTAGTAGTAGTAGTAGTAGTAGTAGTAG